ATAACTAGGACCCCCCCTTTCTCCCCGCGCCCCCGGCCGGACCGCCCCCCGGGACCCCAGCCAAACCACAGCGTCCGGCAGCACAGGGCCTCTCCCTTATTGCACAACCCGGGGAGGGAAGATGGCGAGGAAGGGGGTCCTGAGAACTAGCTGCGGTCTCCGAACTAAGGGTCTCAAAGCAGAAGCTCACCTGTCTGAGACCAGCCCGCTCCTTGTTGGCTGAGTCAGCGCAACGTCCAGGGAACCCTGGAGAAGATAGGCAGGAAGACACTCAGAGGACCCCTCCCCCAACACCAATAGTTTCGCATGAGCCCAGGACAGCTCTCATTAGGGTACTTTTCCCCCAACACCAATAGTTTCGCATGAGCCCAGGACAGCTCTCATTAGGGGATTGAGGAAGGAATGCCTCAGTCGGGGGTCGTGACTGGGCAGGAAGAGCCAGAGCCACTCTGGAATCGTCCCTTCTACAGGTCTCTGTGGACCACTACAGAATGCCTGAGAGCTAAGAGCGCTAGGCTTGTCTCCGTTGTTCTTTGAAAATGCAATCAAGAGAGAGAGAGAGAGAGGTGGGGGGAACACCAGACTGGGAGTCAGGAGACCTGGGTTCCGATACTGGCTGGACCACTAAGCAACTGCCATACCTTGCGCAAGTCCCCTCCCATCTCTGGGCTTTAGTTTCTCCATCTTTGAAACTGGAGAGTGATGAAATCCCTTCTCCCCGTGGAAGCCTCTTCAACTTTTTCCTTCACCCTCCTTGCGTTGCTCAGTACCTCCTTGGAAGAGGAAGATGGGCTCCCAGGGAAAGTACAAGATCCAAGACTGGGCAAGGGGTGGGTACAGAGATGAATGAGGGCAATAGAGACCCTTCTGTATAGGACTTCGCCCAGAGAGCTTTGTGTCTTTTGCAGACAACCCCAAGGAAGGTGACAGACTGCCCCTTCGCTAGGGCTCAGGAGGGCAGGAGGGTGCTAAGCACACACTCCTCAGGCCAGGGGTAATTTGGAATTTTGCCCTTCTCATACACAATCCACTCTCAATTTCTGCCTAGGAACTTCAGTTGCAACCTGGGGTCTGAGGGAGGCCTCAAAACCGCCTCAGAGCCAAGCTAGCTAGACAGGAGCTGTGCCATGGTCCCATTGCGCCCAGACTGCTTAAGCCAGGATGGGGGGGAGGGAAAAGGAGGACCAGGGACACCTGTCCCCGAGCTCACAGGGGGTGGAGGTGGGGCAGGAGGGAGGCCATGGCCTGTTTGATAGAGAACCTGCCCTTGCTTGGGGACTCTTCGGTCATGACCCTTCCCTGGGAGCCCACCATTCCCACCACACCACCAGAGGGCAGGTACTGATCTCCCCCCAGAACAACTCCCCTAGTTGCAGCCCCCTGCTTCCCTCCTCCTCCCCCCCTCTATATTTATCCGCCCTCTGCCTCGCCAGGTGCTGGCGCTGGCTCTGGCTGCGGTGCAGCCCGCCCCACCCAGGAATGGAGCCACGGAGCTTGCTGGGGACCCCTGAGCGGGGGATGGGAGCCTGACCCAGCCCATAGTACCCAGAAGTCTGGTTGCCTCTGGCGGGTAAAGGCATGAGGGAGGGCTCCTGAGGGATGGAGGTCTTACACACCAATGGTGCCTCAGTGTCTCCCAGGGGAAATTTGATTTAAAAAGAAAAAGAAAAAGAAAAAGAAAAACAACAAACCAGCAGCTAAGCGACCCTCCCCATTCCCTCGGGATTCCCAGGAGCCTCACCAGAGAAGGCAGAGACTTCTGTCCTAAGTGGCAGGATAATGAGAGGTCCTCAAAGGGCCATCGTCCCCAGCTTTTTCTTTGTAGGGTACCCGATGCAGACCCCAATTCTAGGGAGTCTTTTTTCCCTTGCCCAGGTTCCCGCGGTGAGAGTTCCCGCATCTGGCCCCAGTGCTCATGAACTGTGAGCAGAGCGAACCCAGGAGTTCGAGCCGCCCAGCCGGCCTCGCCACATTCTTTGGCTCTGGCGGAGGCGGAAGGAGACGGGATGGGACGCGGGCCCGGCAGGGAAGGGAGAGGCAGGGCCAGGTCGGGCCACGCGTGACGCCTCCTCTGCCTCAGGGCCCCCAGCAGGTGGACAGCGCCCTGTGTGCGGCGCGAGGCCCACAGGCACATCCCGTGTAGGGCTGCTTGCCCCTGTAGCTCCCGGGGCTCTGGCTTCCAGACAAGAATCTCCCCCACATTTCCAGTTGGCCAAGAGGACGGCGTTTGGCCCGAGTATGGAGCAGGATCAGGCGTGACGACCGGTTGTAGTGAGAAGAATTGAACACGGTTCTAAATCCCTCCAGACTTACCCTCCCGCCGCCCGCTGGACTTGGGGTCCGTAGCTCAAAGGTCTCGTCGTCCTCGTCCTCGTCCCCGTCCCCGCTAAGCTCGCCGTCCCCGTAGTCCCGGTGCAGAAGAGTGAAGCCTCGACGGCAGCAGAGGAGCCACCACAATCCCCCGGGGAGAGGCATCCGGGCGAGCAGTCGGGGAATGGGGGCGCAGGCAGCGTCGCCCGAGCAGAGGGGGGGATCGGAGAAACTGGAGGTGCTCGGACCCGAACAGGGTAGAGACGAGGCGCGAGAAAAGGAGAGGAGGAGGCAGTGTCCAGCGCTGGGGTGCAAGAGGACGATCGCCAGAGCCTGCTGGGGGCTCAATGTCTGGGCCCTGGCAGAGGGGGGGAAAGCGTCTAGGGCCGGGGGAAGGGAGCAGGGAGCAATGTCCGGAGCTGGGAAGTAGTGTCCGTTGTAGTGTCCAGCCCTGTGGGGGGCAGTGTCCGGTGCAGTGTCCGTGGTAGGCGGTTGTCCAAGCTCCAGGGAGGGTCGTGTCCGGTAGGGCGTCCGGTGGCCGGGGCCCGGGCGGCGCGCGCTGCGCTCCCTGCAGCCCCGGGACTGGCGCGCTGGGGGCGCGAGCTGAGCTCCCGGACCCCGCCTCCTTCCCCCCCCTTCCCTCCGCCTTCCCTCTTCTTTCTCTCCTCCCTTCTTTACAGGGCGGGGTCTACGTTTCGTCACGGCCTTCTCTGCCCAATCTCAGTGCCTGGCGCCGGCTAGGGCCACCAATCCCACGCTTGAAACTGCAGCGGGTTGCATCATGTGCTTCTGGCTGAGTGACAGCAGGGAGAGGCGGGGGAAATTGGGGAGGGAGTGGGCGGTGCGATGTTAGCCACGCCCCAGCTACTGAGGTCAGACTCCGGGTGCCTGTGGCGTCACGTAGGCCCGCCTTCGTGCTCTTGTTTAACTCTTGGTTCACCAAGCAGCAAATAAAAAACCTTGTTAGAAGGTCTGGAGAAGGAAGGGCATAAAGCTGGTAGGAAGCAGGCATTCTGCCTTGTGATCACCTGGCGCATCTTAGAATCCCTGCAAAAGTAGAGAGCCTTGCCAACCGCGAGACATCCCACACCTGCGCCGGAGAGTTAGCTGCAGAGGCAGCTCTCCATCCTTGGAGTTAAAAGGGTCTAGTTTTAGATCTTAGTCATCCCACTTTCGAGGTGAAAAGCTGAGAAAGGAACTTCGGAAAGCCTCAGACAAAGACCTCAGATAGAAGCGTATTTACAATGCATTAACCTAAACTGGAGAGACTGGCTAGGTATGCTAGGGAATTCTGTAGTCTCGGAAAATAGATCGGAGGCCTCTCGGGACGAATATACTGCATTTCTGAGCAAGAAGGGGTTAACAAGGGCACTAGAAGTCCAGGGCGGGGCCGGTGCTACAGCCCGAGACAGCGGACGCGCGCGCGGTGCTGACTCAGCGGCGATTCCCGCGGTCACCGGCGGAGGCTTCCAGGTCGGCTCCGGAGGGTAGCGTGCGCCCCTCTGAGGAGCTGCGGACTTTTCGGCCCTTCCCTGGCTTCTGGCTCTAAGATGCCAAAGTTTTAAGTATCTACCTTCTGAAGCTTTAAGACCGACGACTAGCCAGTCTGGGCTGGGCTGGGCTGGGCGGGACGGAGTGAAGACTTCAAGCCAACGCCTCTCTAGAGACCTGTATGCCACGCCCTTTTTGCCCCTAGACTCTAGGCTGGAGCAGTGGGTATGGCTTTGCTGACCGGATACTAAGCAGGGAGAATTGACTCCTTTGAGCCAATCCTGGTAGTTCTGATTTGTATTTGTGCAAAGCAAAGACCAGAAATCAATGCACCGTCTCTAGAAGCCATTCTGACTGTACTTTCACATTGGATGAAAATGGCCAGAGACTTCGTAACCATAACTTCCCTTCCTCTTCAAGATCCTCGACACATGCCTGCAGGAGAGTTCTTTCTGATAGCCAACCTCCCTTTTTCCTGGCAAGCTCAGTGCATTTCCTTTTACTTGGTCTCCCGGGGAAATGAACTGCACAAGCTTCCCTCACCCTCAACTTTCTACATATCCAATAACTCCTCTCTGGAAATTTGCAAATTGCATACCGCCTCCCCATTTTTAGTCCCAGGTGAAAATCCCAAATTCAACTTTTCTCTTCCTAGGCAGTATATCGCTCTTGATCCCCCATCCCCCGCCCCCCACCCCGCGCCTCAGCCTCTGGAGTGCTGGAACATCTGTTAACACACCAGCAGACTCGAGTTTGTAATTAGTGTTTTTCTTTCCATTGCAGAACTTTAGAAGGAATCCAAAGCCCACCCCAAACTAGCGTCTCTTCCCTTCTACCCCTGCCTCCAGTTTGGGACAGCATCACCCTGCACATTTCACGTGCTTGGGAGCTAGGTACTTGCTAAAGCAGCCATTACTGGATAGCGCTAGGGTTGTTAGAAAGCCCTTTCTTACACCGACTCCGCAGGAACCCCTCCCCTCCTCACCTGGCAGCTTTCCCACCTCACCTCGGTTGGCAGAGACTGAGTGAAGGCAGAGGGAGTGTCAGTACTCAAAGCTTTAGCAGACTCAGCAAACCCCCTTTCCCCAACACCTCCCACTCAGGCTCAAGCAGGGGCGTGGGGGCGGGGGTGTAACCCACTGTCTTGGCCCTGCTACAACTCGTTTCCAAAGTTGGTGATTCAAAAATAGTAACAGTAGTTGGGTTGCATCTCATTTGTATTGTATCAATTTAATTAAGCGCAGCGGCAATCCCTTTAAGTCCTCAAGTCTTTCTCAGCGTTCCCCCACTTACTCCCCTTTCTCACTACCCTCCCTGGGATCGTTTCCTTAGCCCTCCCCCTTCTCTGGAATCGTAGCCCTAGTTGTCCCAAGAGAGACTATGGGTCTCAGTGGGAGCAGAGCAGGAAGAAAGGCGGAGTCGGCGGGGGCAGCGGCCGCGAGGGTTGGGCTTTGGGCTGCATCCCCCACCCTGTAGCAGCCTCCGCAGGTCCTGGCGGAAGCGCAGGCCCAAAAAAGCATAAAGCACCGGATTGAGGCTGCAGCGCACCAGCGCCAAGCCGCCGGTGACCAGCAGAGCGAGATCCTTGCGCTTGCTGGCAGAGCAGCTCCGCTCGCGCGCGGCCAGTAGATCGGCTGTATCCATCAGCAAAGCGAGACTGTAGGGCAGTTGCAGCACCACAAAGGCCGCCACCAAGGCCACCACAACGCGCAGAGCACGCCGCCGCTCTGGCCCCCTGGCGGCCAGAAGCGTGCGGCCCAGGAGCGCATAACAGGCTGCCATGACGCCCAGAGGCAGCGCGAAGCCTAGGACCACCTGCGCCACGGCACTCGCCCCCTTCACAGTCTGCGTGAGGCCTTCAGGGAAGATGAGCCGACAGCGCCGCTGGCCTTCCCGCGGCCCGTCCCGGCTGAAAAGGAGCGCAGGCAGGGCCAGGAGCAGCGACAACAGCCACACGAAGACCGAGACCAAGTGCGCACGGCCAGGTGTGGAGGGCCGCCGCCCGGCTGGAAGAGCTCGAGCGATGGCCACATAGCGGTCCGCGCTGATACATGCTAGGAAGAGGAAGCCGGCGTGGAAGGAGGCTGAGTAGAGACCCGAGATGGCTCGGCAGGTGGTACTTCCTAGATTCCAGCCCTGAAGAGCCCCTGCTGCTGCAAAGGGCAAGGTCAGGGCCAATAGGAGGTCAGCCAGGGCCAACTGGAGCAGGTGAACGGAGGTGGGAGATCGGGTAATTCGTCCGGCTGCCAGATGGGTGGCCAAGACTAGGCCATTGCCCGCCAGACCCAGCACAGCCACCATCAGGGAGACACTGGGTTGGAAGGCCCGACTAAAAGCCTGGACATCCGCCTTGTAACAGAGTTCCGGCAACGGCCCAACCGAGTAAGCCTCCTCATCGTAGCCCGAGTAGGGTTCCCAGGAGATCTGGTGACATCAAAACGAGAGGCAGGACCATGTAAAACATTCCTACACCACACTCCCTTTCACGCAGGAGTTCCTCACTCGAAGCCCGAACACCAGAAGATACCCACCCCTCAGAAAAAAAAAAAAACTTTCTAGGGTACCCTGAACAGGCAGTTGCTTCTCTAGCACTCACTCCCACTAGATTTGCTTCCAGATTCCAGGGTGAACTTGCTCTTTCTGGTCCTAAGTTACTTAATGTGTTCTGCCCAGTCTAGAAGCTCTTATCCAGCCCATCTGGCAAGGTTTGCAGAGAGGACTATTAAAAAGATGGACGATAATAGACCATGGAAACATCTAGCTCGCCTTAGACCAAGCATTTGTATTATTAATAAATCTTGGCTGCTTCTGTTCCCTGTGCAGCGCCCTCTTCTGGAAGGAGGGTCAGATGCAGGCTTTGCTACAGCCTTGGACCCTAGACTTCAAGCTTAGTCTTTCTGTCTCCTTTCCCTCCCCCCACCCCCCCGACCTTCTCTCCTGCCCGCCCTACTGCTAGGTCGATCACAGGCATACTGAGAACACTCATACCACGGGGGTCTTAAGTTTTATAGGCACCTACACAGGTCATAGGATGATAAAGGCCTGATGTTAGTTGGGGAAACCCATTCCTTTACCCTTCCCCACCCTCTCTGCAACCCTTCCCTCCCCCCCCCCGCCCCCGCCCCAACTCCCACCTGCTCTGTGGACTCGGTTCCCATCTCTGGCTACAAGGGTTTCTGAGGTACAGCCACGGGGGTAAAGTTAAATAACTAGTGGGGCAGGAAGGAAGGGGTGGGGAGAAAGACCAAGAAGGAGGGTGGAGATTAGGGTCTGCCGGTTAACTTTTTCATTCCACTTGCCTTGATTTCTATGTAATCCCTGCCAATGGAAAAAAGAATGGTTTGTGATCTTGAATAAGATTTGTTTTTCTCTCTGAGCCCCGGGCTTTTCATGTGCAAAGTGGAGCAAGATGAAAACGACGAACTGACAGTTGTGAAGGTGTCCAGCTCTGAGCCAGGAACCTTATTTACTTTCAGAAAACACTTTCTTATTTGCCCTTCATTCCATCTCTAGGCGTCCTTCTTCGAAGCTCTCCCCTTCCCTTGAAAATGTTAGACTCCATCTCGTCCGCTCCCCCCCCCCCTTTCTCTTTTTGCCACCCTGCAGTCCCAGTCCTTGTTGGCTTTGGGTTACTTGGGGGTATTTCCCAGCGGCAGGGTGTCTACCCCGCCCTTTCGCCATAAGGCTGAGGCACGCGCTTGCGCGGGGTCCGGGAAAACGCGCGTGCCAGGAGAGAGAGAGGCTGGGGAAGGGGGCGGAGAAAGGGAGGAGAGGAGAGTGGGAGGGGGGAAGAGAGAGAGAGAGAGAGAGAGAGAGAGAGAGAGAGAGTGGGGGGTTAGAAGAGAGAGAAGGGTGGGTAAGGACGAAGAAACAGCGGTCGGCTGCGAACCCCAGGAGAAAAACTGGGGGCCTGAGCCAGATCTGGCGCCCTAGCAGGAGCGGGCCACAGGAAGACAGACATGAGTGCTGGTCAGCGCCGCATTATGAGTCTCCTCCAGCTCTTCAGCATCCTGCTCGCCGCTGTGGTCTCTGGAGCTCGGGGCTGGGGCTACTGTGAGTGCTAGTCTCAGAGGCAGGTGGGGTTGGGTGCAGGGGTCCAGAGCTTTTGCAGGGCGAGTCCCGAGCCGCATTGCGGCTGGGTGGTCGCCGGTCCTCCCTGGCCGGCTCGCTCCCGTTTTTTCCTGCCTCTCCCAGCGCTCCGCAATGCAGCTCCGAGACTGCTGTGCGCGCGCCCCGGCTTGGGGCTGGGCTCTGAGCCGAGGAACCAGTCAGCCCAGGGGATTTGAAGCTGTTAATCCAAGCGGCAGCCAGTGCCGCTTTGAGGTTAGGGTTGGCTATAAGTGCGGCACTGGTGACCCAGGCTAGAGTTGAGGTTTTTCCCTGAGGGGCTGGGGCTGGAATTTGGAGCTGACCCAGGGACTAGGTAAGGTTTGTGGCTGGGGCTGGGTTTGATGGCTAGAATCCAAATAGGACTTGGTGACCCTGACTAAGGCCAAGGATGATGCTAAGAATGGGATTGGGAAGTGGCTGGATTGGGAGCAAAACCCGATTTGGGGATTGGTGCATGTTTTGGTCGGGGAGGGCTGATGAACGAACGGGATTGACGGTAAGGCTGGGGTTAATTAGGTATTCTGGGGCCCATTTAGATTCTTAATGGGAACCCTACGCTGGAATTTTGGGATTGTGTTTAGGGGGATACTGAGTCAGGGCAGGAAGGGGAAGGAAGGATCTGGCTTTGGATCTGTAGGTCGAGGCAAAGAGTTTTACCTTAGGAGAAGGCAAGCTCCCCCCCCCCCCCCCCCCGGGGGGGCGGTGGGGGAGGAGCCAAAGAGGGGGGCCCCGCGGGAAAGTAGACTGAGGGCACCGCTTTAAGGAAGGGTTGACTCTGCCACTGGGGGCAGTGAAGAGCAGCTTCAACTGCGAAGAAGGACAACCTTTAGAAGAGGGGCCATGCTAACAAGCTCATCATCCTCTCCCCACCCCCACAGATGGCTGCAATGAGGAGCTGGTGGGGCCTCTGTATGCACGGTCCCTGGGCGCCTCCTCCTACTATGGACTCTTTACTACAGCCCGCTTTGCCCGGTTGCACGGTGAGCTTGCCCAGCCAGGGAAGGGAGGAGGATTCCAGAGAGCTGAGAGAAGATAGTGGATGGTAAAAGCCCTTGCCCTTTCTGTAGGCATCAGTGGATGGTCGCCCCGGATTGGGGACCCGAATCCCTGGCTCCAGATAGACTTAATGAAGAAGCATCGGATCCGGGCTGTGGCCACACAAGGAGCCTTTAATTCTTGGGATTGGGTCACACGTTATATGCTGCTCTACGGGGACCGTGTGGACAGCTGGACACCATTCTACCAACAAGGGCACAATGCGGTACTCTCCGTGCCCAGGCACACACACTTGGGGAGCCTCCCCTGCTCTGGGCCCTGGGCTGGGCATTAGCCTGAAGGGGAGGGGAGGGACAGCCTGAAGCACAGGTGAGGAAAACCACTCTTGAGATTTAGTCCAGCTCAGACTGTTTCTCGCCAATTACAAGGTTTAACACACTTTAGGGTAAAACCTAGGAGAGCTTCCTGAAGGTGGTGGGATTAGATTGTGCTTTGAAGAAAGAATAGGACACTCTGGACCAGGCAAACTAGTCCGTATACAATCATGGAGGCAGGGGAAGTGGAGTGAACTACCGTTTGGCAAGGTTTGAAAGCCATGGCCACCGCATGGGGAAGCTGAGGGTAGGAACTTGGTTACTACTTTTCCCAAACCCCGCAGACCTTCTTTGGTAACGTCAACGAGTCCGCGGTGGTACGCCACGATCTGCACTACCACTTCACCGCTCGCTACATCCGCATCGTACCACTGGCTTGGAACCCACGCGGCAAGATCGGCCTGCGGCTGGGCATCTACGGCTGTCCCTACAGTAAGGGTGTGGAGGTGGGGAGTGCGGGCAAGAAGCCTGAGAGGGGATAGTCTTCCTGGTCCCCCGCCTACCCACTGTCCTTCTCGCAGAGTCTGACATACTATATTTTGACGGCGATGATGCCATCTCCTACCGCTTCCCGCGAGGGGTCAGCCAGAGTCTTTGGGACGTGTTTGCATTTAGTTTCAAGACAGAGGAGAAGGATGGGCTGTTGCTGCACACCGAGGGCGCCCAGGGGGATTATGTGACGCTTGAACTTCAGGGGGCGCACCTGCTGCTGCACATGAGCCTGGGTGAGCTTGGGGGCCCCAGAGAGCTGCCCTGCCTAAGCTGGGTCTTCCCCTTTTGTAGCGCTTGATGCTAGCAAAACAGCCAGGGGGCTCGAAGTCAGGAGCACTGGATTCAGCTTACCAGCTATGTGACATTGAACAAAGCATCGTAAACACACACAAAATGATTTTGTAGCTCCTTTGCTTTTCACAACACTCTTGTGATGAGCTACAAGCAGTTATCCTATTCAGACTTTTACAGATAGCCAAAGAAGCCCGGAGAGGTTAAATGGCTGCACACTTGTCAATGGGCACCTCTCCACTCCAGGCTTTCATTGGGTACTCTGTTGGGAGCTGCTACTGGCTTGGGAGGAGGGCCTGCTGGAGCTCTCACTCTGTCCTACCATGTCCTCAGGCAGCAGCCCGATCCAACCAAGACCTGGTCACACCACGGTGAGTGTTGGCGGTGTCCTTAACGACCTAAGCTGGCACTATGTGAGGGTGGACCGATATGGCCGAGAAGCAAATCTCACTCTGGATGGTTACGTCCATCGCTTTGTGCTCAACGGCGACTTCGAGAGACTGAATCTGGACAATGAGGTGACCAAGGGTGGGGCACCATTTTGGGGTGTCAAAATGGGTAAAGGGGGGAATCTATTCCCCATCCCACCCCCAAATGCTAGAGAGGCTTTTTTTTTTTTTTTTTTTTTTTTTTTTTTTTTTTTTTTTTGTCACTGTTCTAGTCCTCACCCCAGATCTACTATGATGGGTCTAGAAATCCAGATTTGGGAGATCAAGTAAAGTAGAAAATTGTCCCTAACCTCCTCCCACAATTCTGTGCTGTTGATAAAGTATCTAAGACAGACAACTTAACCAGTTGAAGGCCTACAGCCAACTAGTGGTGGCATTGAGGCTCAAACCTAAGAGCAAGTTTTAGCACTCTCCCTAGGGAAATGCTTTCCAAGTCTTTCTGAAAGCCGAGCCTAGTACTGTGGAAAGGGTACTTACTTTGCATGCGCCCAGGAAAAGTAGGTGCTCCCCCAAGCCCAGGGAAACTTCTTTTCACCTGCTCCCCACAGATATTCATCGGGGGTCTGGTGGGCGCAGCGCGTAAGAACCTGGCCTACCGGCATAACTTCCGTGGCTGCATAGAAAATGTGATCTACAACCGGATCAACATCGCCGACCTCGCAGTGCAACGCCATTCGCGGATCACCTTCGAGGCTAGTGGGCAGGGGGTTCCGGGAAGACAGGGGCGCTAAAGTCACTTGGAAAGCCAAGAGGTTTGGTTTGGGGTGAGATCCACTCTCGACAATCAGATTCTCAGGCGTAGGGAGGAGTACCAAGAAGTCAGAGATTAAAGTACCATTCACCCTTTAGTTAAGAAGCTGTGAACCTCAGGATGGTGGTGATGCACACCTTTTATCTCACCACTGGGGAGGCAGGTGGATCTCTGTGGGTTCAAGGCCAGCCTGGTCTATAGAGCGCGTTCCAGGACAGCTAGGACTACACAGAGAATCCCTGTCTTGAAAAACAAACAACAAACAAAACAAAGAAGCTGAGAACCGGTCCAGGTCCAGTTGCCTCATTAGTTAGCAGATGAGGAAAACGAGGTGCAGAGGCTGGGAGCAGTTTGACCAGGAGCACGTGACTCCGGAGTGACAGGGTAAGGACTTGAACTGGAAGTCTTTTGATCAGCTCTCCTCTTTGGTCAGCTCTGGGTTAGGTGCACATGCTAAATTCAGGGCTAAATTCGACTTGTGCTGTATTTGCCCTTAACACTACAAGAGAGGAAATTTTTTTGCTTTGCGGATAGTGGAATCAGTGATAAAAAGCTCTCAAGGAGCAGAGTCCTCAGGGCAGGCTTGTTTGGGCCCCTTCCACATCACAAGGGATGGGAAGGGTCTTGGCTGGAGGTCTTAACTCCACTCTGGACTGGGTCTCAATCCAGTGAGAATATTAACGGCGCATACATTACCCCGTGTCCTGATGCATCCATCCATTCCCTTCTAGGGTAATGTGGCTTTCCGTTGCTTGGATCCCGTCCCTCACCCCATCAACTTTGGAGGCCCTCACAACTTCGTCCAAGTGCCTGGTTTTCCTCGCCGTGGCCGCTTTGCAGTCTCCTTTCGCTTCCGCACCTGGGACCTCACCGGGCTGCTCCTTTACTCTCGTTTGGGGGATGGGCTGGGTCACGTGGAGCTGATGCTTAGCGAAGGGCAGGTCAACGTATCCATCGCCCAGACTGGCCGCAAGAAACTTCAGTTTGCTGCTGGTGAGAGGCTCTGGGAGGCACGAGCAGGCTAGAGAAGGGTGAGATCCGGAAGAAACAGACATTCTCCGCTTCTGGGGGATTCCTGGAGATATTTGCCAGTTATTTCCAGCTTTGCACACTATGTCAACTTTGCACAGCCAGAAGGGGTGTCACTGCACAGGGAGAGAACTGTAACAATGGGGTGCACTTAGACTGCTGTTGGGACCAGACTAGGGCTGCTGCTTCTCCACTCAACATTTCCCCCGAACAGTGGTGGTGAACGCCTTTAATCCCAGCACTAGGGAAGCCCAGGCAGATGAATCTCTGAGAG